TCCGAAGCCTTGTAATTTTGAACCCAATCCGGAAGACAAGGGAACTCCTGGATCAAGTATTGGGAGAAATTTGCCTTCGTGCAGGACTTTTGGATGGAACTAACTCGCATTTGCGTTAGATGGAGAGGAAAACCATGAAAACCTTCCATGATTAACCTGATGTGAAGGGGACTCCAACCCATGAATTGTCTACCACTGAGGATATTTTGCGTTAGCACTGTGGTCGGTGTTCGTATCGAACAGCCATAGCTGGGATTCGAACCCGGTTCACTTCATTAGAATGTGAACGCTTTATCCCGTGAGACACCACGGCGCACGTCTTCGTACTTCATTTTATTTACAACCGTCGTTGAACAGCAGATCCAATTTTTTGGGTTAACGACTGCTAATTTTGCGTTACAGGAGGAGGAAGACCCCGAGAACCTCCCACGATACAGTTATCACGACGCCAAGGGGACTCTAACCCATGATCCGTCTACCACAGAGGATATTTTACGTCAGCTCTGTGGTCGGTGACAGCCGGATGCGGAATTCGTATCGACCAGCCATCCCTGGGATTTAAACCCGGTTCACCTCATTGGAAAGCTAACGCTCTATCCCCTGAGCTCAACATTTGTTGTACATTTGGCATGCCCTTAAAATTTATCCTGATTGATAAACTAAAATATACACTACTTTCAAGACCATTAGCGGCCTTCGCCAAAACTAGACTACTATGAAATTTACTGACAAAGAAGCTTTATATAGCAGAACCAAAATAAATTATTCACAGATATAATATTTAAATAATTCACAGAACTTTGGTTATTGATTTAACTTTTATGGCACTAAACATTAATGCCTTACCAGAGTAATTGAATACAGAAATCGTTATGGAAAAGCTGTAAATTGACTCTAAAATCGTGATTTAGATCCAATATGAGTAATTAAAATTAACAGCTGCTTCCAGTATGAGCTTTTGCCACTATAGAATTTACTCAGAGGGGGCAAGAGGCAGTTAGCAGGCAGGAAGACACTGTTCAAATCGAAACCAAGGAAAAACAAGGCAAATTAATATATCAAGCTTATTTATTTTCGTACTATAGAACATTTAACAGATTTTGAAACTCAATCAAATAATAATAATATATTATTTAATATTATGGTCTAAGAATATATGGTACCAGGCGCAAATGTCGCCAATTGTGAACCAAACGAGAGCCAAGTCGCCAAGCGAAGCAAAACCGTCAACGGAAAAAAAGTCGAAAACTTTCAACTACAAACAAATATCAATTAATAGTAAGCAAAACAAGTTCAATTATAGACAAATATTAATGAATTGAAAACAAAGCAGTTTTACCCAAAAATAATGCTTATAATAATAGTTTTGGCTAAATACCAAATTTTCATCATTTTTTAAAACAATTAAAATGGAAGAGAGAAAGGAAAACGTGCTTTGTCGTGAATGAATTCAGAGAAAGAGCACGTGCGCGTGACCACAAACTAACATTCCCCTTACGTTTGTAAGAAATTTAGAGGAATTCTACATTATTTGACGATTTTTCCCTTGCTCCTGGCTAACGGAAAAGTACCATATATTCTTAGAATCAATTATGAAGCCAATGAAATAAGAAAACTGAAGACTCAATTATAAGTATCATTAAGTTATATTCATCAACAGAACAGATTCATACATAAAATAATTTTCTTATATCACGTCAGACCGAACAAAAATCATCTTCAGCATCAGGTAGCCATCGGAATTGAATATGACGTCCCTTCTCAATCGGTTGTCACTTCACAAGACTGCGACATCAGATCCCAAACGATGGATATTCAATCAAAGCTGGAAGTAGATCCAGGGCTCTCACAAGCCGGATCTGCTGTCTGATACCATCGAAAGCTTCCGATATCAGATGTCAAATTAGACCTCGGACATTTTTATTTCTTCGCCATTTCGAAAAGAAGTTTGGGGCCAGTTCACTCGCAGGTGAAAAATTATGACGGTACGGAACCTGCATCAATCCTTATTAGTGAAGAACATCGACATCAATCTTTGCGAACATCTGTGATGGCATTTTGAATGATGTTTTTTCTTCTCTTTCTTGCATACATCTTATTTAATTGAAAAGCTATTAAAGTTTTTGAAAAATGGTGATTGATAGTTGTGAGTTTTGAATAAATTTTAATACGTAATGCAAGAGATGTGCCATAGCTGTTATGCATTTATAATTTCTGCGTGACTTGCTTTTGTTAACGATCTTATTCACATTTAAAGAACATAGTGGAAGAACGTGTTAAGAGATGTTTTTGAAAATATTCAAATTTAACGAATATGTTCGTTTTAAGTATGGAATTAAGTATGCTAATTCCATACTTAAAATAATAATAGAATAAATTAAATAAGCTAATTTTTTTCTATTTAGACTAGTATAAAAGAATTTTGAATTCAAAATATTATTTTGTAGCAATTACCTTGTGTTTATTCTTATTTTTAAGTAGATTATTTTCTCACTAAAATTACACTTAGCATAATTTTCCTCCAAGTTCTTTTGCTCAGAGCGCAGAATAAAAAACAGAACATAATAACCTTTGATCTACTCTTACGATTTCACATTTTAGGATTTAATACAAAAGGTTCGAGATTCTAAATTTAAATATGCTAATAATTTATACCGATGATATTATTTATAAGCTACCAAAACAGACACAAAAACGTATGTAATACATATTCATCGACGACTATCGATTTTTGACCTCAAAATATGGAGCTATAATTTAGAATATATGGTCACAATAGTTTAAAACATAGTCCAGATTGTTCAGACTACATTAGAATTTCAAGTATAGAAAAAGCGAATTAAGATAAGCCAATAGTACATCATTAATCCTGAAATATTTCATTCTATCAAAATATCGAAATGCAAATAAAATATAGTAGGATTATTCAAAATGGCGGAATTAAGAAAATTCTTTTTTTTATTTTTTTTTAATCGAGGATATGCTATTTTTCTAACCGCCATGATCATACAAGCTATTCATAGCTGCGAGGTTAAATTTTGCCCATATCTAGACAGCGCCCTCTATGCTGATAATGAAAATGGCGCTTTTTTTATTAGGTTTTTTTCTCTTCTAATTTTTACGTTCTTCACCGAGGAAGATGCCGGAAGTATTACTCATTTAACGTTACCCGGTGGGCACATGTGAACCTAAGTCGCGGAGGCGAGCAACATACTCACGCCACACTGCCACAGATACCAGTTTAAAGAATGGGCCACATTCATACATCACACAATAGAGAACAACACTCAGAGAGAAATATCCATGCCCGGATCAGGATTCGAACCCGATGCCACTGGCTTTGCAGTCAGGCACGCTATCCGCTCGACCATCTGGCCGACCTTTTTAATGAAGTAAAGTCATATTTTTTTAACGTGTAAAGTGCTTGTGATCTAGCTTTCTTTTCTAAATGGCGATTCCTTTGTTAACGATATGACATTAGTTCCTCTATACCTCTCCATAACGCGTGGAAATACATTTTACTCTAATTTGCCACGGTGGTTTTCTTGCTCTTGCTCAGTTTTTTAACTTCTTTTTCCTCTCTTTCGGCTACTATAATTTCTTCAGTTTCTGTTTCTCACCTTTATTTTTCCACTTTTCGTTGGCAACTTTACGATTCATAATTCCAAATCACTTTTGTTTCTTCTCATTCAGACGTGTATGCGAAGAAACAAAACGGCTTTGAAAATGAATGCTTATTTTTGAGCGCTTGAAGCACGTCAACTGATATTTCCAATTTGTATATTTTTGAAGCCAATTTTTTAAATCTACTAATAGCTTTTTATATTTGACCAACACTGCATTACTTGGTCTCATAAAATATTAAAAAAAAATTCTCTAGGTGAAAAAGATCCCCGAAATCAGCATTATATTTTAAAAATTTTTATAAATGTGTCCGTTTCTATGGTCCAATCTCTTAGAAAAGATAGTATATATCGTTGTGCATTTTAAAGTTTTTTTCCTGCTAATCTGCCTCATCATACGATTTCTCACGTAGCACTTATGAAAATTGGAGATTAAAAATATATTTCATGGTTGATCTTTTCATATAAGACAGAGGCCCGGGAGTCACCCCTGAACTTTAGCCTCGTCAATCATAACCGCGGAAGGAGCCCAGTAGAACTTTGTTCTATGATGAATAACCTGCATTAAGGGTGTCCCCCGACTTGAGTGACGGGCCCGTAACCTCCTGGTGCTCGGCCCATCACTCATCTCACCAGTGTTAAGAGATATGGCTGATATAGTATGACTGCATCATGAAGGCGTGGCCCGCTTGTTGGACAAGATAAAACATTTAAGTTACGGTTTGGCAACAGATAAAAAAGTGGCAGGTATATGATAGGAGGTTTCTCACGTTATGTAGCGTCGCTTTATCGGGAACAACTGATTTCTATTTTTTTTTAATTGATATATCGAGGTTAGAGGAAAACGTGTGTTAAGATAATCTTTTCAGATTATTCTGTGTACCTTTTGTAGTGCTTCAGATGCTTGAAATTTACGAACAAGAAGAAATGCAAAGAATTTGAAAGTTTTCCTTATTTGGGTGTTCATTTCAAAGTGGTAAATAAGTGCAAACACCAGCCGTATATTTATTGGGATATATCTATCAAATATATAAAATTTTGTCACAAAATTTTTCTGATACACGTTAAGAATTTGTTTACTATTTGTTTTGGTTGGAATTTTTTATACCTTCCTGAAATATCTGTTAGTTTAAGAACATTTACCTTAGTTCAAAGTCAATTTTGAAAGTAACCAAGTTTTTTCTGGGGTGAAGATTTGGTGGTGACAGTTACCCCTCCCACAGAATTTAAAATTGAGGGAAAAATGGAAACATTTTTAATATAGTAGACAGTTTAAAGGGAGCACAATTTAAAATTGCGAATTTTGTAATTAAAGTTGTGAAACGTATAAATTGATGATGGAGTTTCCTTAAGTATAAGTAAAAATTCATAACTTACCTTTAAAACACATGCTTTAGGCCACTTGGAAGACTTAGAAAGAGATTGTCGAAGGATACTGAAAGGGATATGAAGAGAACAAATTAGACCAATGAATACGTAGTTTCAAACACAAACATTTTTGAAACATATTCGACGCAAAATTTCATTAAAACATTCAAATGATCTCACAAAAGTTGAAAATCAAAATCAGCAATATTTAAATCATTATTCAAAATTGCTTTCTGAAATAGCTTTAATTAGCCTTTTGGGCCCTAAACAGTTTAATACAAAACACGCATTTTTAAAATATATGATCTAAAACTTCTATAAAACATGGAATTGACGTTATAAAAATTCACATTCAAAGTCAATAATGTTAAATACTTGTGATAAATCAGCATTCGAAATTTACCTTTCATTTACCCTAACGGCCTAAGTAACCTAAGTGTCGGTATTCACTAATTTTTGTGAGTAATAAAAAATTGTTGTTAGACTAAAAAGAATGCTTCGAAATAACCCCAGAACCTATCAAAATAATATAATTGCAAAATACAAGCTACAAGTTGTCTCGATATAAATAAAATTACCATTAGATGCCTTATCATTGGCGATGACTATATTGCACTTCAAAATAAATGTAATCAAGTTAATAAGTAAATGACGACACATGGTGACGCCGCCACCTGGTGATACTACAAAGAAGTATCCAGAATGTTCTCAGATATAGAGTAATATCCATGATCCATGTCTCTAATTTCAACAGTTTCAGGATATAGTGACTCAAGATATAGTATCATAAATAATAATAATCTTGTGTTAATGAACTATTTTGAACGTTGAGTTGGTCTAAATTATTGAAAATAATATAGCCCCACTGAACATTTGCTACAATCTATCATATAATGTTAGTCCAAAGAACTCAAATTTCGCCGAAATGTTGGCGTGAGTAAAATATGGAACTCTTTTGAGCTAGTGATTTTAGGAGTACATAAAATATGTACTTATTGGCACGATTTAGTATTTTACATACCTTACTTGCGTACATAAATTCAGAACTAGCATGCTCGGTTACTTAAGAACACGCGTTTGTGAGTTAGCAGAATGATACGTGTGTTTATTCGAGAAATACTGAACTTTCACCCCAAATCCCGAACGTTGAAAGTTCACAGAACTAGTGCAAAATTTACATACGTGAATGTGATAATATGCGAGAGTGCTAAATTTCGCTATAAGAGATATTTTATACTCTGTAGTAGCATCCCACACGAAGATTCTATTCAAACTTCCCTAGCAGCAAAATAAGTTGGGCCAATATTCATGAATCTTGGCTCCATAAGGGTTCAAAGAGCCTTTATTTTTCCGATATTGACCCTAGATTCCGATTCATCCGATATTTCACAGTCACTTTCAAACCAATATCGGTCCTATATAGATTCACCGGATATTTTGTATCCGTTATTTAGCCAATGCTCGTTCTATATTGGTCAATGTAGGGCTTATATAGGCCATTCTAGGACCAATATTAAAAAACCTAGGCATTCCAATATTGGTCCATCGGTGCATGTTCTTATAGGATCCAAACTGAGCCAATTTTGAACCCAACTGGGGCAAAGGTAAAATTTTTGCTAGGGTCTTTCGGTAATTGAGGCTATGTCCGCTAAGCAGAGTTTGTGAGCGTACGGGATGTTACGTACGAGAGGATATATCCTCTATTGTCAATTTGCTATGCCGTACTTTGTAAAAAATTATTCCCACTTTCTTGCTCTCATATCTTTAATTATGCCCTTAATATAACATCAAAATCCAACAACTATCGAATTGCTTGATCCCTGGCTTTCACCTTTGACAACTTCCTATCTATTGTGTAATTTTTACTTGGTCCCTTTTGACGGTTACGGTTAAATAACGCGTTGACGTCTGCATTGAAAATCTGGACGAAGATGGAGTAGCCGAAATTACTAGGTGGAAGTGGCAACGAAACGCGGCATCTTTCACAATGCCTTCCACGTTGCACGCATTTCATGAGACGGACAGACAGACAGACAAGAAGAGACACCCCCGGCGTAATTAAATGCCATTCTTTAAAGCACTTCATCTGTGTTTTTTTTATTCTTTCATTCTATTTTTTGAAGCAAATGTCTGACGTTGACGTTTTTTTTCCCCATCTCATCCATTCTAGGGTTCTGACATTATATTTTTTTGTTCTCTAGCGTTTTTAATATCATTCATTTATCATTGGCAAGGGGCTCAAAACTAAAAGAACAAATTGTGTCCCAAGGAATTATGAATTTATTTCCAAAAGAAAAATAAATACGAACCTTAATGTCTCACCACCCCTTTCAATTTCTTTCGCTTGTACAACTTATTTTCTATCGTCCTTGTTTCCGTAATACTTAAAATTAATAGAATTTCTGGAGATAATTGAAAAATTTATAGTAGAGTACTTCAGAAAGTAATAATAGTAACATTTTATAAAATTAATAGTATAATATTTTGTTAATAATTAGAATGGCATTTTTAAATTTAGTAATTTATTTGATATATTTGATGTCTAAACGCAGTAGATTCACTACACTTTGTTGAATTTTGTATATAATTTATAATTTCTGAAGGTTTAATGAATGAAAACAAATTAGTGAAGAAAAGAGAGACCTTGCTTAGAATTGAAATTTTGAAACTAATTTAATGACTTCTTCTGCTCTTTATTCCCTGTTTCTTTATTCTTTTTCTTAATTAATGAGGAAATCACGAGAAGCGTAAACTAATTATACCATTAAAAGAAATATCCTATGATAAGGGGTTCTTGCTATAAAAAACTCAACTAAGAGTCCTTATTTTAGGCCACGGCTCTTCATTGCTATAGAAAAACGATGTTAAAAGAAGAAAAAAATGCATCAGGAAAAATGGAAGAATGGTGTATAAAGAGGAGAAAACACATTCGAAGAAACGATGAAATTGTGCATAGTATAGAGGAAATTCATTAGAAGAATTAGAGGAATGGTGTATAAAGATGAAAAACACATTAAAAAAACGAAGAAATTGTGCACGTAGTGTAGAAAAAACGCATGAGATGAATAAGTGGAATGGAGTATAAAGGAGAAAAAAAACACATTCAAAGATACGGTGGAATTCCGCACAGTATCGAAGTAAATGCATCAGATGAAATGGAAGACTGGGCCGACCAGGTGGCCGAGTGGTTAGCGTGCCTGACTGTGGAGCCGATGGTTGCGGGTTCGAATCCCGGTTAGAGCAAGGATATTTCTTTCTCTCTGTGTTCTATGTCCTTTCTCCTTTGTGTGAATGTGACCCGCCCTATAAACGGGTTTGTGGTTGTGTGACGTGGACGACGCTACTCCACCGCCGTGGCCTCGCCACAGGTGCCCACTGGTTAACGAGAAGAGAGTAGCAGTTCTGGCACTCCTGCCAATGGGACAATACATCCCAAGAGCCCGCCATTTAAAAAAAAAAAAAGAAAAAATAGAAGAATGGTGTAGAAAAGAGGGGGGGGACCACCTTTTTAAGGCCTCGAAGAAAAGGTTGAACTGCGCAGAGTGGAGAAAAGCATCAGAAAAATCAGAGGAATGGTGTATAAAGGGAAAAAACTCATTCGAAGAAATGGTAGAATCGTACACAGTGGTGAGGAAATACATCTGAAGAAATAGTGGAATAGTGTGTAAAGGAGAAGAAAGACGCTTGAAGAAATGGTGGAAAAGTGCAAGGAGGAAAAGAAACACATTCAAAGAAACAGATGAAGGTTGTATATTAAAATAATAATGAAGAAAAAAAATCGGTAAAGGGTCCCGGACTTACCAACCCAGTTCTTTTGCTATTTATACAGAAATCAAATTAAACTAATTTTAAGCGCAAGTGGCATGCTATTTAGACATTAAAAAAAGGTAGCGTAAGTTACTACTTTTTGGTCAGCACTTTGAAGAAAAGTTTTTATTTACTAATACTAAGTTGTAATGTATAGTTTGTTTATTAAAAGAACTCCCCTAGTCACAAACTCTAAGACCGTCTGCTGCTATGGAAACAAGAAAAAGCGCATTTCAAACAGGGAAGCTTCTCTCTCCCCTGATTCTCCTTTTTCTCGCTGACCCGTGCCAAGACCTGTCTTAAAGCCTGTTAAACCTCGCTACCATTGTCATCGCCACTGCTTTAGACAAATGCCGAGGGGAGTTTTGCCATAATCAACCTATATCAAACTGATCTGATTGCTTGAAGATTTATTTTAAGCAAATTAAACATCTGGAAGTTCAACAATCTCCCATTTTAAATTCTATAAACGGATTTTGAATCATGTTTAAATAAGTCTTCTTTTCATTTAAATGGCGTTGTCGGATAAAACCGGGATCCTGACAGCCGTACAAAATCGGACAGTTTAAGAGACAGGTAGGATACTTGACTTAGTCCAATAGGAAAGATCAAGCCATAGAAGTTTGTAAACAGTACATCATCTGCTAAGGATGGGCACTAGAAACCTGCAGCTATAATCAAAACTTAATTTGTAATTTTTATGCTTAAATGTGATGGACAAATTTAATTTACTAAAAGGCTTCATTAATATTTTAGCCTGCATATTTCTCACTAGAGAAAAAATTTGATGTTAGAAAAGAAATAACTATTTGAAAAGAAAAAAAGTATAATATTTTATATTGTAGGTTTTATCTGACCAAGTAATACAAAACCATGTTTTAGCATGTTGTTGTTGTTACGTATTCCACTTGGCCCAGATCAAGGTTAGACCAAGTTCAGAAGACCGTTCACCGACAGAAAATCGTATACCATCGTCTGATCCTCCAAGATAAAATTCTGCTCTAGCCCCATATAGGACAGCAAATGATCAGGTGTAGCCTGGTGCATATTACATTCTAGGCATACAGGGCAAGTCATTTGACCCTGAACAAATGTTAGTCGGCGGGTATGACCACTGATTAGTCTTGTGATAGCTGTCTGTAGTTTCCTATCACCTTTTAGATCCAGGGCAGCCCCAGGACTATTTTGTTGTTGTTTTGAAAATGTTTTAGCATGCTTTTAACAAGCGATTAATTTACTTTCCAAAATGTAATAGTTGCA